GGCGTTTTACGGCCGGTTGACGAACACGACAAATGCCATCGCACCCAATGATGTTGAACTTCGATTCATCACTGAACAGGACAGTTCGCCATTTATGCACATTCCAGCCAATATGAGGTGTAGCAAACAGGAGTCTTTTCTTCTGGTTCTTTAGTGAAATCAGCGGTTTCTTTGCAGGGCGTCGAGAAAACAATCCGGCTTCAACAGTTTGTCGTCTGATTGTTCGGTTCGATACAGGCAGCTTAATTGCTTTTGTATCTCGACTGATGATATCCAAGGATCCTTCTTGACAGATCTGACGATCATAAACATTCCACTTTCCTGACATTTCATTTACGTAATCGCCAATAATTTTCTTTCTTAGTTCCAATCCAAGACTGTCGGGAGCCATTTTTGCACTTGAAGTCATAAAAATAATAAAAAAAAATAATCATGCTTCTCAAGGCTTACCGTGTTATATTTACCTTGTGATGATACAATAATGCTCTGTGGAACAGAACGTCTTGGTTGGATGTAGACTGTATTGATGTAATGAAACACTTGTTGTATTTCACTTCTTGTATTGATGTTCTTCAATAAAACACTTTGATAAAACTCACTTCGATAAACTGTCTTGATAATACTGACTGATTGACTTCCATATACTGACTGAATTACATGTTGGTTTACATGTCTCTTATATAGTAAAATGAACCTGTGTGAACCTGTTCTGGAAGATTCTAGATGCTTCTTTTCGATGCTTTTGGAAACTTCTGGACGCATCTGGATGCTTCTGAATGTTTCTGGATACTTCTGGATGCTTCCAGATGCTTTTTCTGGAAACTTCTGAAAGCTTCTGGAAACTTCTGGATACTTCCTTTAATTATTAAAAAACTTCCGTGATGTTGACACGGACCAGACTTAAGAAAATGAAACAAACCAAAAAAATTGCACTTGTTTTGTCCGCTGCAAAATGGCACTTGTCAACGAAGTTCTGCCTATGTGCTGTCACCTGTCAGCTGATTGCTCCAGACTCCTGAACTGTTTGCTGTGGTAGTATAGTATGTTTTGTTTTTAAGACATGTAAAATTAGGAACACTTTTTAGCATTGTTCGATGTTGGTTGCAAATGTTTTGTCCAATACTGTATATATATATATATATATATATATATATATATATATATATATATATATATATATATATATATATATATATATATATATATATATATATATATATATATAGTATTGGACAAAACATTTGCAACCAACATTGAACAATGCTAAAAAGTCTTCCTAATTTTACATGTCTTAAAAACAAAACGAACTATGGAGTAACAAACTCAGTCACCCTAGCGGACATTGTAAAAGGGGGCACAAAAATAACAGACAGAGATAAAGCCATTATTGTACAAGTCACTAGAGAACTGAACAAAAGAGAAAAAATTGAACATAAAGTAATTATAACTGTAGTCAATGAATGTGACTTAGAAGATCCAGAAGAAAGAAAAAAACAAGAAAAGGAAAGCATAGAATCACTGATAGTTGCCCTAGGGCTCAGAAAAGAAATTTTTAAAAGTGTACGCAGAATAAAAAAACAGCGCCAAGTAGACTCGTTAAACGGAGCAACAAATACAACCAACACAATTGCAAACACAATAATTGCAACTAAATGACCTCCACTAACAATAGTAGTACTCAATAACCAAAATAGCCAAATTAAACTGTTAAAGAAGCGTAACAAGCTAAGAACAATGGATATCAAAAGAACCAAGCAATAAAATTGTTGCAGCCTCATTGACATGTAAACAAGAAAAACAACTCAATGGAAACTTGTCACCAATCAACAACTTAGTAACAGTAACAAACAATGCTCAACATCATCATCTCAGCCTGTTAAATTATGCCGCAATTCCATCATCAAATATTAACCTGATCAAAGCAACAAAAAGTTAATTACTTCACTGATTCGGTTTGCCACACGACACCACAAACTCGTTGTCAGCTAACAGTATAGTAATATAATCAAACAATGCCCAACAACAACATCTTGGCCCGCCAATTTATATCGCAACTTCATTATCAAATATCAACTTGATCGCAGCAGCAAAAAACTAATACCGTCATCAGCTAAGTTTGCCACATGACACCACAAACTTACAACCAATTAAGAACTCGATAGCAGCAATAAATAATGATAAACATATAAGATGAATATACACCAATGCAACATCGCTAAATGCAAACATACTCAACGAACTCACAGCACATGTCTTAGTCAACTGCCCCCACATAATTTTAATAAGTGAAACATGGTTCACAAGCCGATCAGTTCCTCATCTGAATGGTTACAATGTGTTTCGTAAAGATAGAGAGGGTTATCAGGGAGGAGCCGCAATTTATGTTAGCAAAGACCTACCATTTGTTGAAATTGATTATAAAGAATTAACAGACACAAACTGCAAGCAAATTTAGCGTTCGTTAAACATAAACAATTAAAACAATCTATTAGGGTGTTTATATCGACCCACGTTTTCCTTAAGATATACAAATGATCTGTCAACCTAGACTGCAATTACATTAGCAAGGCAAAGTTACTTGTTGACACTAAAAAATTTAGCTTAACACTCAACTGCAGTGACTTTAACTTTCGAAATGTGAAATGGTTTTTTTACTACTTTTTAGTTCACAGCGGTGAACTAAAAAATAGTAAAAAGGACATAGCCAATATATTAAATCACCAATTCGAGTCCGTCTTTAGTAAAAGATACGATATATAAATTAACACATTTGACCATAGAACAAATAAGATGATAGACAAAATTAACATCGGAGGACAAAGAAGAAAGTTTATTACTTTAAATTGATGGAAACAAATCACAAGGAGCAGATAACGTTCACCCATTCATTCTAAAAGCACTGGACACCGAATTCGCCAAGCCACTATTGATCATATTTAATTTATCATTGCGTTCAGGAGAAATACCAACAGCATGGCTAGAGGTAAACGTAATGCCAATATTTAAAAAAGGAAGCTCAACAGATCCCGGAAACTATAGACCAATCAGCTTGACTTCGGTCCCATGCAAAATTATGGAGAAAATAGTAAGGAATGAACTTATCAACTACTTCACAAAAAACAACCTTTTCAGTAGCGAACAACACAATTTTGTCCCAAATAAATCATGTAGGACAAACCTTCTAAAAACTATGGAGCCACCAAAACAATGGCAAAAAAAATACCACTAGATATCGTATTTCTCAACTTTTCGCGTGCATTTGATTTAGTACAGCATCCTAGCCTTATTGAAAAACTGAGCAAATATGGAATAACAGGTCAACTGCTTGCATGGATTCGCTCATTTTTAACAAATTGACAACAGCAAGTTGTTCTAGGCGACACAACTTTAGGATGGGCACCAGTGTCTAGCAGTGTTGTCCAAGGATCCGATGATAGAAATAGACCTTGGAGTCACAATAAGTCAAGATCTTAAGCCAGAAAAGCAAGTCAATGAAGCCACATCCATCGCAAATAAATTTCTTGGACTGTTAAAAAATATGTTTATACCGCGAGATCCAGCACTATGGAAAAAACTCTATACAACATGTCAGACCACATTTGGAATACGCAGTATGCACTTAGTCACCATCAACAAAAAAAGACCAAAAAACACTTGAAAAGTTCAGTGACAAGTAACAAAGATTGGACATGCAATGAGGTAACATAGCTATGAAGAAAGGCTAATCAAACTCAACTTAACCAGTCTAACTTTGCGTTGACAAAAGGGCGACCTCATTCAACAACTTAAAATATTACAAGGAATCAACAAAGTGAAATGGTGTGTACCAACATTCACAAGAGAACCAAGAGCGGGTCGTAGAGGACAACTGAGCAAAGAATTAGTCTGTAACAGTGTACTGCAAAACAATTTCTTCACTAACAGAATTGTGAACTGTTGGAACTCGCTATCTGATGATACAGTGAATGCAGAAACAGTCAACGCATTCAAGAGTTGGCTGAATAATCTCCAGCAAAGTTGCTACAGTGCCTCATCATTTGATGGGTTACTTCACGTGAGCCAATAAGCTCGCATTGCAGTAAGCTCGAATTATATATATATATATATATATATATATATATATATATATATATATATATATATATATATATATATATATATATATATATATATATATAGTAACCTTAAATGTATATATTATAACTTGATTGTAATAAAAAAAAATTATTTACTACATGATATTTTTATTATATTATTTATAACTTATATAAGATATTATATTATTTAATAATTTCTTATTATATATAGTTTTATGAAGTTTATTATAGAATTAATAAATAATCATACTTATCATATTTGTAATGATAAATTTTAAATAAAAGAAAATTGTAAATAAAATCATAATCTTTATGAATCTTTTTTATATGGACGTTGTTACAACGTTGAATTGATGTCCAGGTTATGACTAGCTTTTAAGTTGTGGTGAAAGCAATATTTGGACTGGTTATGATGTTAAAAAACTCCAAACATACATAATAAAAAAAAATTAAAAATGCCCAACTGTAGTAAGAGTAGTTGTAATAAGGTATTTTTCCTTGATTGTTTATCTTATTGACAAAGCCATAATATAAAAATACTCAGTCCTGATCAACAAAATATCGTCAGGAAGGACATCCATGGTTGGATATTCATGAAAGCTAGGAAGAACATCCACAATTGTAACAAATTGCTTTAACACTTCCATAATGTCATAATTAAAAAAGAAAATGACATAATGGAAACCATCAAACAAATTCAAGCTACACCAGTGTAGAGTAATGGATGTTAAACATTAAAAAAAAAAATATGTATACTAAATGAAAAACTCTATAACTTCTGCATTCATAAAACATTTTACAGAAACTGAAAAAACGAAAAATACATAAATAAAATACATGCATAATACATAAATACATATAAACACATAAACACAAACAAAAATATAAAGAACCTTTTCTCACCCGAGCAGATATTAAAAAATCTTGAGACTTTTTAAAAGCAATTCCTTTTTCAACTTCACAAGCAGCTACACATGATACATTTACTGCCCATTTTGATGACATAATCTGAATCTGTAAATTTCCAATATCATTACTGCTAAAATCTTGTTGAGTTACGATCGGAATTTCTACTTTAATTAATATATTAACAATTAATATTATAATTAGAAACAAACACTAAATTTCATTAAAAAAAAATGTTAATATATAAATGTATATTAAGTTTTTTTTATTAAAATGTCAATCAACTAACTAGGTTTCCTTGAGCAGCTGTCAGCGCAATCAGTTTCAATTGAAAGAATATTTTCTTTGACCTTTTTTTCACATTCTTTTAATTTAATCACCAGCTCATTAAGTATCCCACTAGAACTAAAGTGCGAAGTCTCAAAAGATTCAACCAGCATGCTTACATTTTTCAACATATCTGCACTTTGTTTTGCATGCATGTTAAACATAGTAAAAAACTTATGAAAAATTCCATCCACTTGAGTTGAAATCAATTCCTTTGACTTCCTTATGTCAAGAACTCTGCCAGAAACCTAATAAATTATTTTTATGCAGAACTTTAAAACCTATCTTTAATAGAATTTAATACCAATTTTTAAGCAAGATTAACTAGTAATTGTAACAGAAAAATTTATTTATGCCTTGAAATCATCATCCAATCTCTCTGATCCTTTATACTCCATTATCATATTTATTTCATTATACAAATTTCCTTTCATTGTGAATAAAAAATAAAGAAAACCATCAAGTCGCCTTTCAACTACAACTTCTGCATTTTTCATTTCCATTCCTATAAATATTAAAAATATTTCATATATATATATATATATATATATATATATATATATATATATATATATATATATATATATATATATATATATATATATATATATATATATATATACAGGGTGGCCCATAAGTCACTTTACATTTTAAAAATTAAATAACTTTTTTTCTATTAATTTATTTCTATTACTCTTTTTAGAATTAAAAAATATAATCTTTGGAAATTTTTAGTATGGATACGTTTACAATAGAACAACGAGTGAAGATAAGTGAATTTTACTTTGAAAATGAACGATCAATTGTTTCAACGCAAAGATCGTATATGCGCCATTTTAATGTTCGACATCTCCCTAGTAGGCCTGCAATAATGAACTTAGTGACGTGTTTTTAAGAGCATGGCTCTGTAAGTGATAGGACTAAAAGTGGACGAGGTTGTTCAGTACGCACATGTGAAAATACTGAAGCTGCGAGCCGTAGCATTGAAGAGAACCCAACCACATCCACTCAAAGGCGTTCTCAAGAACTTGGCATTTCACGGAGTTCTCTGCAGCGCATTCAAAGAGACTTGCACATGTACCCTTACAAGATTCAATTAGTGCAATCTTTACAACCACCAGATTTTCAGAAACGACTAAATTATGCTGTCAGGTTTCAGAGAACTGCAAGAAATGAAAATGAGTTTATTCACAAGTTGATCAAGGGAGATGAAGCTCATTTCCATTTGAACGGACATGTGAATAAGCAGAATATGAGATTTTGGGGCACCGAAAATCCACACCAAGGTCATGCGAGTCCGTTACACTCAGTTAAAGTCACAACATGGTGTGGAGTAACATCAGAAAAGGTTATTGTGCCCTTCTTCTTTGAAGATGTAAATGAAAATGCTGTGACTGTAACTGCTGAGAAATATCAAGACATGCTAGCGAATTTTGTTCAACCTCAGTTAGCAAACATGGCAGGGTATTAGTGGCAACAAGATGGAGCAACTGCACATACCGCTAGAGCCACAATGCAGTTTTTAACTGCAATGTTTCAGGATCAGATAATCTCTCTTAAATTCGATTTTGAATGGCCTCCACGTTCTCCTGATTTGACAGCACCAGACTTTTGGCTTTCGGGATATCTTAAAGACAAAGTGTAATAATAATAAGCCCCAAACTATTCAAGATCTTAAGGCAAACATACGACAGGAATTTCTTTTCCTACAACCTCAGATGTTAAGAAGTGTTGTGGAGAATAGCTTAAAAAGAGCTCGACATTGTGAAGACGAGAATGGAGGCTATTTAAGAGACATTATCTTTCGTAACTTGAATGGAGAATGGAGGCTATTTAAGAGACATTATCTTTTCGTAAGTCAGAACTAACTTACAGATTCTAAACTTTGTAATAAAAAAAGAATTAATTAAATACAGTCGTTTAATAAAAAGTTATTTAATTTTTAAAATGTAAAGTGACTTATGGGCCACCCTGTATATATATATATATATATATATATATATATATATATATATATATATATATATATATATATATATATATATATATATATATATATATATATATATATACATATATATATATATATATATATATATATATATATATATATATATATATATATATATACATATATACATACATATATATATACATTAAAAATATTTCATATATATATCTATCTTTTTTTAGCGTACTTAGCAAATTGATGTAGCAAATTGATACTGGTAGCAAATTGATACTGGTTTTCAGAAAAAAATGAGAAAAACAAAGAATAATGAAAGAAAAGATCGCAAAACCTTCAGTTGATGTAGCAGCACTACTTTGTGGTAGCAAGCTATAAGATAGTCAATGTATGTACTAAACCCCCCAGCAGCAGACTACTTTAGTGTGACGTCAGAGATGTTATCTTACATGCATTTATAGTTGTGTATATATATACATACATATATAAGGACTGAAGATTAAAATTCGGATTATGGAGTTTACTGAAAAGCAAAGTTGACTTTTCCTCTGACTTTGGTACCGAATTTGAAATAGAATTTTAGCTTTCAGTTAAATCCTTTAACAATTGCAAAATTTCACTTAACTTACAGCTAAATTTTTAAAGCTATCATTTTTTTCAGTTAAAAAATAAAAATAACTATAAAATATGTCATTGACATGAAACGTGTTCATGTATATCAACCTTTTTTTCAGCACAGCAGCCTTGTTCGCCAAAGTTCATATTTTGGACTTAAAGAGTTGAGAGTGAATAAACAAGTGAATATTTAACATAATATTCTTCACAATCTTTTACCTTTATAAAATTAAAATTTTTCAATGTTGGTAATGTTCTGTTGTTAACATTCGTTTAAAAACATAAAGAATTGTGAAAATTGCATAACTTAAATTCTAATTATTGCTCCATTAAAACTTTTTTTTTTTCAGCACAAATTGTTGTTGTTTTTTGTAAACATATTTTTTGTTTTGAAAAATTACTTTAATTTACTTGTGTTTTATCATGTTTTGAAATATGGTCAATAACAAGCTTAAAAATGATAAACTTGGTATATAAAAAATTATTATTCAAAAATGTACTTTCATTTTTAAAATAATAAGTTAAAATTCAATATTAAATTAAAAGTCAGAATTTCTCTTTCAAATATGGGTACGCATATGGGTAATAATAACCATATTTATATAACTTATAAAAAACTTAATTTCTATTCTGTTATGTTTTTATAAACTTTTTTCAGCCCATACACAGCATATTATGGGGATCCTTGGGAGCAATTTATTATGGGGACCATTTTGGGACAGACCATCTGCAGCTTATAAATGGAATCCTTGCCCCATTAATTAGTTTTTAAGAAAATAAAAGTTTGAATGTAAAATCTTTAATGTGTGTTAAACTAGCAGACTAAACTTATTTCATAAGCACATAAATAACATAAGTATCTTATTCACAATATATGCAACACTCGGGGTGTTCTGATCTTTTTAGAAGTTTTAAGCTTTTTAAAAAAACTCTTTCCTTCTTGTTTGTAATAGTATTGAATATCTTTATTTTTGTTAGGTTTATAATATCTATAGAATTTTAAAAATGTTTTATTTTGTATTTTAGAAAATTTGAAAAATTAAAAAAAATAAAATAAAATATTAAAGCAAAAGAATTCAAATCTCCCAATACACTTCCGAAGCGCAGAGCAAACAACTTTGGCTACTAAGGCATACAATGCATATAAATTTTAACTTTGAGCAAAAGGCAGTATAATTTGTAAATTGTCAAATAAATGCTATGAATCAAAATGAAGATATTGTTGCAATGTAAATTTCAAGTAAAAGTAAAAATGTAAAACTTGATACATCTTTTAACATAATTTGAAGTCTACAAAAGTTAGATATTTGCATACACTTTTGTTCACATTTTCTTTTAAAAATAAGTGTTGCAACTCTTTCTTGTAATTAGCTCAGGCATAACAACTGCCGCAAGTTCTGTGCAAATGAGTTCTGTGCATGAATGAGCATTAAGTTGAGCAATATATAATATGATTTAAAAAACTTGTGTTTTTTTAAATAAAAAAAAAATTAAAAAAACATTGTTACCAATAGCAACAACATAAGAAATAAAATGAGTTTTCGAAACTTGATTGGGACTTTTCCAAATCCAACTTGTTAACATAGGTCCATCATTCTAAAAACAACATTGATAAAATTTAGATTAAAAGTTTGATAAAACAAAATAAAAAAATTAGATAAAACAAAGCACATAAATGATATCAAAACAAAGAAGATTATAGTTAAAATAAAGAAGATTTTTAAATTCACAACAAACAATTATTGATTTTTTCCCCTCTGCTAGCAAGACCAGAAAAAACTAAATTTTTTTTTTTTCATTTCCACATTTAAAATCATTTTCATTAAAAAATTGTCTGCCAAAACCAAAACCCTCAAGTCTATGATATGTACACTTCACTGGGCAACTATATCAGTGAATGTAAAAACATTCTGCAACACCTATCTGCATATCAGTTCATTTTACTTTGTATAAAAAACATAAAAAAAACATAAAAAAAAAAACATTTAAAAAATAAAAAATTTTAAATAAAAAAACAAACAAACTCAGTCGTAATAATTAGTCATTAAAACTGCCATTAAAGCATTATTTAAAAAAGCGACAAATCGCAACTTTGACTAAAAGATTTTTTGTTTTTATTTTTTACTTAATTTTTTTTATTTTGGTTATAGCAGCTAATTTATCTAGTTATAAGTGCAACAAAGTGTACAATAAAGTGTACATAAATTTGATGATTTATCTAATCATAGGAGCAGCAGGGGGTAACACTACCAATAAGCATATAAATAGCATAACTTGTATATTATTTTAAACTAATGGTTCTGTAAAAAAAATTGTAAATATTAACAATAACAATTAATACAGCACTTGCATATTTTTCTTCCATTTTCTTAAATTGTATCAACCCTTTTGAGAAAATCTTTTTTTCCCACTGCATGAAGAAGCCTGTAGTTGTTTCATTAAATGAAACATGAACACTAACAATAACGCTAGCTGAGATTCGCAGTCTACCTCTAATATTTAATCCAGGTGAGACTGTTTCTTCTAGACAACTAACCTTTTTGTCTAAAGTAAAAGAAAAGTGTTAATAATTGAAAAAACATAACTTTAAAAAAAAAAATAAGTTACTAAAACTGAAAAAAATATAAATTTTATATAAATATAAAATAAATATAAATTTTAAAACTAAAATAAAATAAATATCTTACAAAAAATATATTACAAAAAAAACAACATAAAAAAACAAAACAAAAAAAAAACACAATTATAAAATTTTATAATATTAACTAGAACTTAAAAACACAAAAATAAAAAATAAAGTTTTCTCTTAAGGTAAAGGTTATATTGAAAACACTTTTGTTTTTAATTTAACTTTTTTTATAGGTTACATTGAAAAACCAATTTTTTTATGCATTTATTCTAAACAGTTGATTATTTTGTTGTCAATTTTGAATCTCATTTTTGCATCCTGTTATATTAAATCATCTTAAAGAGCTATAAATTACTAAAAAAAAAAATTATTTTTACATATAGAGTATTCATTATTCTATATTTTGACTTTAAATTACTCCATCTCTTCTCCTCAAGCAAGCATAATAACTTTGAGACTAATGTCTCTCATCAAGTTTTGCACAGCTCTATAAGAACTTTATCACAAACTTTTCTTCACTTTTTGAGTCACTAGGATTCTGTATTGTCTTTACCTTATCACAGAACAGCTTGTTAAATCAAAAACCTTACAGGAACTTAAATTGAATAAAAGGTAGAAAACATTTTTCGATTTTTCTTTTCTTATAGATTTTTGAATTCATCAAGTTGATAAAGTTACTAATGGCTTGCATTTTTTGCTAAAGCTACTAATTGCCATGATCTTGACTTATTAGGTTTCGAAAAAAATATATATAAAGTAATTTTAATGAAGATACACTAAAATTAAGTTTAATATTTTTTAGCACAAAAGGCCTTTCAAAAAATCATCAGTAGTGCTATTTTTGTTATCAAAATAATATTTTTCTATTTTTTAAACAGGAAATGATAATTATCTATTGCTTAATCTTTATAATTAATATAATAAAATTTTTTATTTGATTTCAAACACGAAATGTCAATTAAAAGTGTCAATTTTTTTTAATTAAAAAAATTTTATTTTTTATAATATACTAGTTTTAATATTATACTACATAAATATATATATATATATATATATATATATATATATATATATATATATATATATATATATATATATATATATATATATATATATATATATATATATATATATATATATATATATATATATATATATATATGTATATATATATATATTATATTAGTATAATTTACAAGTAGAGTGCTCAATGTTCTTAAAGAACATTGAGCACTATAATAAATTACTTCAATTCTTTAGAATTAGAATAATTGTAGTCTAATCAATTGTTTTTATAATTTTTTAAAAGGTACTTTTTTTCATGTCTGCATTTAGAAATTAATTTAGATATTTTGTTTAGTAAATTTTCTTGATCCAAATGAGTAATAATTTCAATTTTTTTTTTTTTAAACATAGTATACATTTTTTGGAAATGTTATTATAGGCAGGCGCAGATTTTATAATAGACCAGTTAAAATTAATATCTTTTTTTTTTTTTTTTGCCAAATATATTTTGACAGCATAGTCTCTTTTGAGTATTTTTTATGTTTAAAAGATTGTTTGTGGTTAGCATAATTTTTTTTCCATTCGTTCTCGGTTAAGCCAATATATTGTTTATCAGGGTTGTTTTGCGGGGAAACGCGAATGTTTGTTTTAATGAAGATACACCAAATTTAAGTTTAATATTTTTTAGCATTATAGGCCTTTCAAAAAATCATCAGTTGTTATCAAAATAATATTTTTCTATTTTTTAAACAGGAAATGATAATTATCCATTGCTTAATCTTTATAATTAATATAATAAAATTTTTTATTTGATTTTAAACAAGAAATGTCAATTAAATTTTTTTAAATTAAATTCTTTTCATTTTTGAGTTCCAAAAAAACAAAAAGTTTGAAGAAAGGTTTATAATTGTATTTTGTGCATGTTGGCAATTATAAACTTTACTTATCAAATCTATCTGTTCATTGTCCGGTTCTACAACTAGAATATGTCCATTCAAGCCTTCCCAGGAAAAGCGTGCAGTTTTTCGTCTCGTACGACCACGAAAACGTTTTTCATGCTAGAGAATGTGATCACGGCCGTTTGCGCAAGTTTTAATATATACGTTGCTGAAAAATTAATTTAAATTTAATAACTACTTAAGAAATTAAAGTAAACTTAAATAGAAAACAATAATAATAGTTTAAATAATTTGGGTGTTGTTTTTATCTTTGTTTTTTCTAAGTGTTTATCGGCAACAAAATTCAGTAAGTCAAAGCAAAAAAAAAAAAAAAAAAATTGTTTCAGGCGTTAAAAAGGATGACTTTCCCATATTTTATGTGTTTTTTCTTTTAAAGAGGAAAGAGAAAATATGTATCATCATCTGTTTGTAAAATATATTTGTATAATTATAATGTAACAAGTTTATATCAAGAGTTAAATTATACGATCGCAATTTGCAAACTCTGTTAAAATATTAGGTCTTTAAAATTTTAGTTCATGCAAAGCTGTGTACTTTGTTTATAAGGAGCAAATTATTAAAAGTTTGCTAGCGAGAAAGTTATAAAAAACAAAACAAAATTTTAGTTATTAACTGCATTATAAAAGTAATAAAACTATAATAGTGTTATTACATTTATAAAGTACTAATTACTTTTAAAGTTCATTTTTTGTTCAAATAACATTATTAATTCCAAACATTTATTAAAGTAGAAAAGCATCTAGAAAAAATAAAGCGGATATAAAAAAATATTATTAAAAATTTTAGGAACTTTCAGAGATCACTTAAACGTTATAAAAAATTACTTTATAAAAGGTATAGCATTATGAAAAAGGTTACGTAAAAACGCGCATTAATTTTAAAATCAACCAATAAAAAAATGTTATTGGTTAATTTTAAAATTAATGCGTGTTTTTACGGTCCATTAGTAACGTTTTTCATAATGCTAAACGTTTAATACGATACGTTTTTATAAAGTTATTTGTCACGTTTTTATAAGTTATTTAAGTTTTAATATTATTTGAACATCCACATTATTCTTCTAGATATTTTTCTACTTCAATTAAAATTTGGAAATACTAATGTTGCTTAAACAAAGAATGAATTTTAAAAGTTATAAGTGTGTTATAAAAGTAATAACACTATTATAGTGTTATTACTTTTGTAATGCATATAGTGACTAGAGTGTTATTACTTTAGTAATCGTAAGTTTATTGTTTTATTTTTTCGCTAACAAATTTAAGTTGATTCTTCCCTTAAAAACAAGGAACACGGTTTTGTATAAACTAAAATTCTGAATACTAGATATTTTTCCAGATTTTGCGTTTCGCATTCGCTTAATTCAACCCTTGTTGTTACATTAAAATTATACAAATAAGTTTTACAAACACATTGCAATTTATATTTTTGCTATCCTCTTTAAAAAAAAAATTAAGAAAAGGAAAATATTATTTAAATTATTAATTTGTTTTTATTTTTTTCAATCTCTTTTTATTATGCTAGTTTTGTTTTATTTGTTTTTGAAACTCAGCATTATTATAAAACTTGCAAACGGCCATGTTCAAGTTGTCTAAAATAATATACTCGGGTGTGATCACACAAGATGAAAAATCGCACGCCTTTCCTGGGAAGGCTTGCCACTCGTACGAAATTTTAAAATATTAGTTTTTCAGGTGTATGTAGTTTTCTTATTGCAAGATAAACATTTTAAATATTATATTACATTTTTACTATTGCAAGTTATATGACTCTTCATGTTCCAAATGGAACCATTTGATGTTGTAAATGGTTTAACTTCTTGAAGATAGAATTTGCATATTTTACAACAATTATCTTTACATTTAAATAATCCTACTTCTTTATCAATAAACTGGAATTTTGCTGATATCAGTATTCATAACAGGATGTTTAAAAAATCTGCTTTGCTCTTTCTCAATTAAGAAAAAGAATACAGAAAGTTCAAAAATCAACATCAAAGGTATTTTATTAAACTTTTAGAAAAATATGAATATCTTAACTATAAACACAGCAGGTTTACAAATCTTCTGAACATTTATCATGACTGTTTGCAACAAGAACCTTTGTTTATTCCTAAAAAATTTAGAAATGACAACTTCTATTTTATGTCACGTGAAGAAAATGCAATAAAAAAATTTGACCTCAGCGCCTCAAATAAAAATGTGAGATTCTTACAATAAGAAAAGACATAACATTAAGTTTTCTTTCTTCATTATAAATCCTTGAGGAATAAGTGACAAACTTTATAATTAACTATGCACCAAAGAAAGAGCTTAAAGATAAATTAATATTTTGATACAAGGAATGTAAAAAATAAGATATTGATCGCATTGCCAAAAAATGTTAAAAAAAAAAAAGCATCCACTAAAATTGCGTTTGAAAAAGATAGATATCTAAATTCAAAAAATTCAATAAAACACCATCAAGATGGTATTATCAATTGCTCAACTTCTATTGGATCAAGTAATATTGGTGCTGACCATAAACAAACATCAAATGTAATAGCTTCAAAATACTGGCTAAGCTCAACTCAAAAAAAAGAATCTAAGGTCATCAACCTTTCCACCAATCACCAGACAACATTTCAAATATCACTTCTTATAAAAGGTCCAAAGTTTTTCCAGACAACCAAAGGAAATTTTTTACACATTGATTCTGATATAAAACAGTTTACAAGAAAAATAATGCTAAAAAAAAGATTTCAAGGAACACATAATACTGATATAATAAAAAAAAATCAAATAATAATATTAGAAACTATAATATTACTTTTAGAAAAAAATCATTTCAAAAATTGAACAAATTAAACCAATCAAAGTACAGTCAGTGGATAACATTATTCAACAAGAAAGGGTAGCCTTAAAACAACTAAAAGAAATGAAAGATTTAGTTATCAAAAAGGCAGACAAAGGTAA